CCAGGCAAAGACATCAAAAAATTGTCAACTAACAAAAGCTTTATTATAATATCAAAATTGATTTAGATATTATAGTTGAATACTTTTAGGTGTCTTTCACAAGTACTAGATCTATTAGCTAAAAGTGGAATGAGTGTTTACGGTGATCAAAACCACGACCTGGCAACCTAAATCGGTCAAATGAGATTTTTATGTTTATTGAAATTTTTGATCTTTCAATATTTTCTGATCAATCTGACTAAATTCTACTATCAAACTTCCTCCAATCAGTCAGTCACGTTGCCATCGCTCCCCCAGTCCAATCCTCATACTAATCAATCGACAACCCATATCTTCAATCTCTTCAATTTATCTATCTATTTCTCATTTCCTGTCAATCAATCATTTCTTCTCCTTTTTCTTCTTTTCTTCCTATTTCAAAATAATGATTAACAAAATGACCAATCTCCCTTTTTTTTAACAGTAGCAATCAAAAATCTTCTCCCTTGTATTCGTGAAACTCATATCTTATATCTCCAATGAAGAAGATATTTCTGTTTTTTTTTTCAATGTCAGCACATGACAACCCAAGAAAAAAAAACTGTCAAAAAAGTGCATACTATCAGTGCTTGATAAAAGTAGTATCTATGCGTCTCCGAAGGATGCCACACTATTTTTCCGGTGTTGCAAACATTACAGATCTTACGTAATCCGTAATGGAGTGAGCACATGTGGCATATGCCATGTAATCTGTGATCGAAATTCTAATTTCATCAAGTTTTTAAATTTTAAATCGGTCAAAGTTAGAGTCGTGCCATTTTAGAAATTTATATTAATCCGGATATCCAAACAATACAGACCGGATATTCACAAATCTGACACATTTACGTTTTCAAGTTTTCAGTCTTTCCGTTTGCAGGATGTATGGTCAGACTAATTCGATCATAGATTTACAGTGGATCTTGACTTTTCAGAACGAAAGACTGATTCATTACATCCGCTGGGATCAATATCTTGCAGAGCTTATAAGCTCTGAAAGGTTGATTAGAAGCTCGGGAGCTGGAAAAGTGTTCACACGAAATTTTTTTTCCAAATGAATGATTTTGCACTTTAAAAGAAAAAAGTCATTCGATTTTCAGACAAATATTTTTCACATAATTCCTGTAGAAAATTGAGACAATTAGTGTGACGTAAAACTATCTCACAATCTTTTAAAGATAAGGGTGAACGATGGAAAATATCAGAGAGGAAAGAATACCGTAGTTCCGTCAGCACGTTTTCTTGCAAAAAAAAAGCCAATGGGTTTTTGTAGCCTTCGATTCAAAATTTTGTGAAAAGCTTGGTGTAGAAATTATCACTATTGATCAAATAGAGGCATCAATTTCATTCTTATACAGTACCTGTCGAATAAGATGTACAAAAACGTGTTGATTTTTTGTCATTTTGACCATTTTCAGAAGTTTGGATGTCGGATGTCAAGTTTCCCATCTCTTTGAAATTTTTGAAAGGTGTAAAACAGACCTAGATTGAAAACTTTGCATTCACAGAATTTTTTTAATTCCTAGTTTTTCAGCTATCTTCCGATTTGTGAAAGAGATCTCTTTTTGGCACGTTTTGTACGGAAAATGTGAAAAAAGGGTGTCTTTCAGAAATCAGCGAATAGCTGAAAAACTAGGCTTTTTCAAAAAATTCTGTGAAGGCAAAGTTTTTAATCTAGGTATGTTTTACACCCTCCAAAAATTTCCAAGCGATCGTTAACTCGTCACCCGAGCTCCAGACTTCTGAAAATGGTCAAAATGACCGAAAAGCAGGTACTGCAAGTTCAACAAATTTGGCTTGGTAAATTTCAATGTGTCATTTCCAGAAGCTTCCGGACCTAATCAGAACATTGATCAAATTCTCAACCTGCCATTCAAGTCGGTATCACTATGTGCCAGTTCACCTCTCGTTTTTTTCCCGAATACTTTCTTTTTTTCGTGCACTGATCACTCCCGTTTTTCACTTTCGATTATTTCTTTCCGTTATCAATTTCAGAAAATAATGCCGAGTCTGCATCATTCATCACTTTTCTCGCTTTTACTCCTCATTATCTATTTTTCCGCATTTTTTGTCGGTAACAAATAATAGTTATGGGCATATTGGAGAGGTCAGCAGTTACCGTTGCCAGTTTTCTTTTTCTTCACTTTTGCGAAATCGGGAACTGTGTTGTCTTGTCTTTTTTAGGGAGAAGTAGCAGCTGAGAAGGACAGTCAGATGACTGTTGGAGCGTGTGTGGAAGAAAATAGAAGAGCAAATTGATAGAAAAAGGAGAAAAATATGGAGAAGATGAAATGTTTAACAGGGAGGGCTGGTACAAAGAATACGAGGAAGTTGTTGATTTTAGAGGAGAGAGTAAACAATTTCAGATGATTTCAGAATAAGTAGGAGAGGGGTCGGATTGGAATCTTCTGGAACCAATGGGTTTACAGTAACCTGAAACGCAAGCACTTGGGTTCAAGCAAATGGGTCAGAAATCGCGCCCCAGTAAACGTGAGATTTTAGAAAAAAATCGCTGAATTATTTGACTGAGGATCAAACTTTTAAACGTTGGACGAAAAAATCACGCGTTGCAACTCGTTGTTAAAAACTAGGTCAAATCCACGTCAACTTGGAAATTATTAAATTTCTTCTGGCCTAAAAGTTATTTGGGGCGCGCTTTTTGACCCATTGGCTTGAACCCAAGAGCGCAAGTTAATTACAGATTCAAAAAATAGAGGAATTTTTTAAAACTTTCATCAGGAACCTCTTTGTAATTCTGAACGGACGATTGGCGGCTGAATGGCGGCTGATTTGAAACGGGCGTGCTATTGGCGGACACTCTATACTTGCCCTTTGAGCCCTTATATCTCGGTTTCTGTAAAAGATATCAAAAGGTAGTCAACTGCCAAAATGTTTAGTATAATATCGCAAACAATTCGTTAGTTGACACCTTTTTGATATCTTTCACAGAAACCTTGATGGGATCTGAGATGCCGTCAACTTTGAAATCATATATCACTTTCCCTTTTAAATATATCAAAAAGTAATAAACTAAAAAAATGTTTGTCATATTGTCATAAACATGTTTTCAGTTGACCAAATTCTGATATTCTTTAAAGGAACCGAGATAAATTGGCTCAAGGTTAACAGATTGAGTGGGGTTTCATCTCTTGGTTTAATCAGCAAAGGCCAAAGTCCGTATCAATATACAAGGCATATGCCACCCTCGCAGATAACTTTCGACCTTCTTATCATCTACAAAAATTGTAATTATCTCTTTTATTTTTCCCATTCACTTCTTCTCAGAATCTTCGCACTTTCATTGATCTTCACTCTTTTTTTTATTCTTTCTCCACCTGACACATTAATCACTTATCACTGATTATCACTGATGCTTCTTGTTTGTTGTGACGTCCTTTGAGTCATCTGAAATTATTGAAAAAAACATGAAGAATGAAGAAGAAGAAGCGGAAGGAGTTACACATAATAGTGCATGATTAATCAGATTACGTTTCATATCAGTAGACAGGACAACAATGGAGTTTCAAACCAACAACAAAATCTTTCAGGGTATTTTCTGCAGATTGTGGAAACCCTGATGTAAGCCTTTTTGATTATTTTAAAAGAGACATCGATGTTCCTGATTTTCTTCAATTCTCTTCCGGTTGATAACGTTCTAGCAGAATGAACTTCTCTTTCTCTACTCTGAAATTCATCTGCCAAACCTTAAAATTCAGCATCTGAGAGGGGCTGGAATGAAAGATGTGTTGCTGTTTTCGAAAAGTCTCCCTTAAATCTGTTTAAAAATTCGTGTGACACATTCTATAGATCAGTCTGTGGAAGTTTAAGTATTTGAGGGTGGTATTTAGGGATAAAGAAGAAAAATCTGGTGTTTGATATCTCAAGTTTGTAAATGTTTATTTATCTAGCCGTTAATATGAAATATTAATAGTGATCATGGCTCACGGAAGTCACAGTTTCAGGTGCCTTATATTCAGTTCCGGTCTGAAAATAGGGAATCATGAGTATATCGAAAAAAAGAATATGATGATCAGAATACATAGAAGTTGGCTCTTCAAACTACAGTACCGTTCAATAAGAAATACAAAAATGTATTTTTCAATTGATGTTTGGCTATTTCGATCACTTTTATGAGTCTAGAGCTCGGTTTTTAAGTTTCCAATCACTTTGAAAATTTTGGAGGGTGTAAAACAGACACAGATTTAGTGTCTTTCAGAAATCGAAAATAAAAGGAATTTTCAAAAAAATTCTGTGAATGCTAAGCTTCAATTTAGATTTCTTTTTCACCCTGCAAAATTTTCAAGGTGATCGGAAACTTTACAGCGGAGCTACGGACTTCTGAAAATGGTCAAAATGGCTAAAAATCAACGGAAAAATATTTTTTTCGTATTTATGTTTGACCGGTACTGTAGATAGCCCAATATGGGTACCAAATAAGATCCCATGTGCTCGACACCCGGCTTTAAAAAAATTGAGATAAGAAAGATTTGGCTCCTTTGCTCCGAAATGCTCCAAAATTCGTTTTTTTAGGTGGGCCACTGTGGGTATCAAATCAAATCTCAGAATGTCGCGACCCCGACACTAGTCGGAAAATTCAGAAAAATTCCTAATTTTCAAACTGCTCCAAATTTGAAAAATGAGCCAAGGCCAATATGGGTAATGTGACAATATTTGACTTGAAAGTAGGAGACATGAAAACATAGCTGGTTTTATCTAAATTTATATACGACGCCGCGTCACTTCGAAACCGTGACACTTCGAAACCAGTCATTACGAAACCGTGGTAATACTGGCGAATGGATGAGGGTCAGACTACAAAAAAAGTTTAGAGTTTTCAAATATGCTTTTTCTGATAGAATACATTTTGGAACTCTAAAAATGCAGAAAATTTTTTTGAAATAAAAGATTCTTTCAGAAAAAGCTTCTTTGAAAACCCTTAAATTGTTTTTGCAGTTTGAAATTTATCCGTTCGCCTGTATTACCATGGATTCGAAATGACCGGTTACGAAACGACTGGTTTCGAAGTGACGCGGACAATAATTGTACACAGTGTGTCCAGCAACTCCCAAATTCTTTTCCAGAATAATCTGTCAACTAAAAATTATTTTACTATAATCCCATCCGACCCATTCCTTTCTGAAACTGAGTTAAGAATCCGGATTGAACTTTTCTTTTGCCATAGTTCTCGTTCATTTTTTTTCGATTTTTTTGGACTAAATCAATGAAAACTTACGGTTTTTACACTCGTTGTGCAATAAAATGTATGTGGTGGGCGTTCCCAAATTGGACACTTGATCTGTCACATTTTTTATTTTATCAGCTCTAAAATTCCGATTTTCACCCGAAAAGCTACAAATATCTAGGCAATACGTTGCCATATTTCTCTCCTCATGACCCCAATTCTTATCGATTTGAAATTTTTGAAAAGTTGAGTTCATCAGAAGGTTAAAGGAGGCGAGACAGCAAATATTTCGGGGGACGAAATCGCGCTGCGCTTATGTAGACCATCGGTCGGCGGGCGCCTTCACGCCCCGTAGCTCAGCCGGTAGCGGCGCTGTACCTCTGAGCTGCCTGTCATGAGTTCAACCCCTCATGAGGGTTCTCTATGAAAAATATCAGGAAAACTTTTTTTTTGATGTCTGGCCTCTTTTAACTTGTCTATTTTCTCCCTAATCACTCTTGTCACATGACCTACATAGAGAAAGATAATAATAATGAAGTTGCAGAAATGCTCGAAAAATTGTTCTGCTGCAAAAATTGTCAGTGACAAATGACGTACTAACGGCAGGAAGTGACAGAAATGTGATAAAGAAAAAAAACCGGGTGAAAATGAGGGGAATGGAGTGTTTCAGAATTGGTTTTTAAAATCGAATAAACCCAAAAAATGTTTATGCTTTTTTGAACTATACAGAACGCATTCTTGAGAAACACACAAAGGAAACATGGAATTAGAAGCAATAAGAAGGAGAAGAGAAAAAGAAAATATGGAAGCGAATACAGTTAATCAAAAAACAAATTGGTGTGAAGCGATTGAAAATGTGTATGGGGGTTAGGTACGGGAAAAAAATGGGATAGAATGAATAGTGTCGCCGTATATGGGGAAACCGTTGAAAAAACAGGAAGAAAGAGTCAAGAAAAGGAAGAAAAAAGAGAGGAAATGAACGTGATGAGAGTGGATGAAAAGGCACCCGCTAAGCATGCGACTCTGAAACAAAATAGTAGAGGGAACGGAGTTGCAAATCCCCATCTTATGAACAAATGCAACGACGGGGAGGGACGTGATAAAGGATCTGTGTGAGTTGAGTGTCCAATGTGCGAATTAAGAAAAAAAAATAAGTTGAATATAATAATGTGTACACACTACTATATATCACAGCCAATCAGATCAATGAATAGTAAAGAGGCATATGGAAATGGGGGATGGGGAAACTGTACAAAGGAAAAAAATACAAATGGGGACTACTATGACTGAAGCGGGAACAAATATACTTTGGTTTTTATGGACCGGTCAAAGATCATTCGATTTGAAAATCCAGCGAGAAACGTTACTGAGGGCCATCGGGCATCTCCTCATCTGCATCTCCAGCACCCACATGTCGTCGGAAGTTGTTGAATGCGGCCATTTCTTGCTGGAACTTATTAGAATTAGAAAACGAAATTCAAAAAACTTTAAAAGGGTATTATTTTTCCGGTCATAAAATCATTTATCGAAAAAATCGGTTAATTTTTTGTTCAAAATTCTCGAAGGTATATAAATATCGCCAAAATTGAACAAGTTTTTGAGCAAAAAAATTGTGTTTCAACAAATTTCTCTGAAATTACGAAATTTCTGGATTATTTTTCCCTCGAAACATACGGTAATTTTTACTACGCATTTTCATGGGAGCCCTTCTGTTACAGGTTCTACAGTAACTATTTTTAGAACAAAAACTTACAATGAGTCTCTGCGGCAAATCAGGTCTTGGCTGTCTTCTGCGATTGTGATTCTGGTTGTGTGCTATCGGTGGAGCTGGTCCAGGTCCATTGTTATCGACATCTTCTTCTGATGATGATCCGTCGTTGTCTCCGGCTGCTGCCCTAAGTCCAGCTGGTCCGGCTCCAGCAACTGCTATGATCATGTGTTGTTCCCCTCCACGATTATGGTGCCTGCGAGCTCGAGGCATCTGTGCCGCTTGCTCTTCCACCACTTCTCGGTCACGACGCTCGATTTGACGTCGGGCAGCCATTTCGAAAAGCATCTCAGCTCGAGCTACGGCCGCTTGATTCGGTAGTTCAGGGAGAGTTGCCTGAAACGTTCATCAAATTTAGTACTTTTGTTTGAACGTGGTTGTATCTCTCTGCTCTACCCGTTACGATTAGCAGATGTTTTCCACATGTTGCACTTACCCTAGGCACTGCGTCTTGCGGTCCAATAGCCTGGGCATCAAGGAAGTCCCAGACAAGAATAGTATCATCGTGTGAGGAAGAAACGATTTGGAAATCATCGAATTGTAAACGGAACACTCTTCCAGTGTGTTGATGCAATGAACACAGGCAAATCTCAGAAGACAAAGCACGAGGATCGAGTGCTGCTTGGAGATCCCAAACTTTCATTTTTCCGTCGTAAGCTCCGGAAACAATACGTTTCTCATCGAATCGAATACATCTGACAAGCTCTTCGTGCCCTTCCAAAACGCGCAGACAGACGCCGGAGTGGATATCCCAGAGACGAATCGTATTGTCACTAGATCCAGACACTACGAGACGACCGCGATATTGAAGACAGGCGATTCCACGTCTATGCCCCGCCAGAGTTCGAACAAATTCCAGAGTATCCATTGACCAGACCTAAAATTCATTATTATTATTATTATTGTCAAATTCAGACTTAGAAAAAGATTTTCATACCTTAATTGTTCTGTCACCGCTGGCACTGACGATGTATCTATCATCGAAATCAACAACGTTCACTGCTGCTCTGTGTCCAACTAGCACTCTTCGAATCGTTATATCTCGTGGCGATACCATATCCCAAACAGCGATTGATCGATCTTTGGAGCAAGTCACCATGATTCCATTGGCAAATCGGAGATGAAGAACTGCTTCGCAGTGATGGATCAATGTCTTTATGCATTCACCAGTTTCTACGTCCCACACTCGGACGGTTGCATCAGAAGATCCCGAAATGATAACACGGTTGTCATACTGAAGGCACAAAACAGATCCAGTGTGTCCGGAAAGTGTTCGACTACATGTGTAGTCTTTTCGATTCCAAATCTGAAAATATACAAAATATCTATTATTTATTTGCAACTTTTATGTTACCTTGATGGTGTTATCTCTTAATCCAGAAACGATTTTATCATCGTCATACTGTAGACAATAAACTCCTTTACTGTTTTCTGATTGACAATTAATTCGAGTCAATTTGAAGTTGCCCCGCTTCCAGTTGGTGTCAATGTTATGGATATCTCTGATAATTTTTGGATAAAGTTTGCTGTAGAAAACGTGCATCAGGATAAGTTGTTCGAGCTTCTCGCGCTTAGTGCTCGGGTCGTAGCCGAATTTCTCGCAGATTCGATGGACCGACATCTCTCGGCTTATATTCAAAAATTTGTTCCTGCAAAGAAACAATAATTTAAGGATGTAGCTCCAAAACTTACCAGTGTCTTTTCTCTGAAAGTCCCAGCCAAAGGGAGTCACTTCTCACATTCTTCTCTATTAATTTTTTCCAATGCTGTCCACGAGCCAATGCACATCTCCAATTAGTACTCACTTCTTCACAAGATTTCAAAGAATCTGAGTTCACATTGTAGAGGATGAGTTCGACGAGATGAGCTGGAAAGGGATTAACTAAAAATTGAAACTATCTCAGATGAGGTACCTGGTAAATTAGTTATGAAGTCTCTTTGAAGCATTGGACGTATGAATGTGTCAACTTTCCCCAACTGGTAATGTGATAATCGATGTACAATTTTGTCCATGAAATCTAGCTGTTCATGCTCGTTCCATTTTAAGATTTCCTGTAATTGATACGAGATTTTTTTTAAATGAATATTTCTGATCAGGAAGTCTTAGCTACGGAAGCAGAAAAAGAAACCATCGATTTCTGAATCTCAGAACACAAAGACACTCTCGTCTTCGTCACTTACCATAAGATTCAGAGGAAATCAATCCCATAAAACTATAACCACCACACAGGTTTTATTCCAGTTAGAAAAATCTCGTTTCTATTACCTCTAGAAGACCTTCACGCCCTTGAAGGTAGTCTGTTGAAAGCGGTTTGCCCTCATCATGTTCGCCGCCGTCTCCTCCTTCGGTTAGTGACAATTCGGCCAGCTGCTGAGTTGTTGAAGCCCGATGAGGGGACGAAGACATTATATGTCCTAAATTCAACAGATATATTTTTCATGGAGGCAGGTGGAGGGAATGAACAAATGGGATGTGTGGAGGAAAATCGACACTAAGAAATGCGTAATATCAATTAAATTCGAAAAGAAACGAGGAAGACGGCAATTGGGAAAGCAATTGAACGAAAAATGAACAGTACTGTGGGCCGGCGGGCCTGGATTTTATACATTTGAAATTTCAGAAGAAGATGTTTTCTGTGCTCAGGAGATATACGTCAATTTTCGAATTTCAAAAAAGATACAAGCATGGGGTTCGAAATCAAACTGTCTAGTTTTCAGTTCTTCAATCCGTTTAGTAGGAGCTAGAGAGATATTCAAATTATCACTCAGAATTGGACGAATTTTATTATTTAGCACTACTTGCTCGGGTTGTTTGTAATCCGGTTCAAACAATTCCTTCTTCTTTATCCGGTAAATTTTGATTAAACATCAATAAAATGAGTTTTGAATAAACATCGGCCAATATTCGACCACTTCTTGTAATTTCAAATTTTGCCGTTTCGATTATTTAAATAGTGAGACAAATTCTCTGATTCACAAATAACATAACGATTTTAAAATTTTTGAAAGAAGATATTCAACAGAGACGAACGAACAGCGGAGCTTTTTTGATCCCGGCAATGGAAAAATGTTCCACAATCAACGGTAAAAATGACACAGATGCGAAAATAAATGGAAAATAGCCAAAGAAAAAGAAAAAGAGTCATCCATAATTATCATCTGCCTTCTCAGGCGGAACATTTGAATTTCAATTTTTTCGGTAAATGACGGACAAAAAATGTTTCGGACAACAAAGAGCCACAAATGGCTGAACACCGGACATCGGACTCTGATATACAAAAATCGAGAATTCTCGGAAATATAAAACGGTATATATGTGATTACAGATTTTATGCAAGACGCCGGAAGTATTCTACTAATTCTGAGAACACGAGAAGATAGTTTTACAATTCCGATAATCGCGACAATACATCATGAGCGCATTATTACGAAACCCTCGATTGTTCGGCGACATGCGATTTAACAAACTTTGTTATTTAACGGCCGAGTTCAACCAGCTAATTACAATTCCAGAAATAGACAGAAAACAAGAAAAATGATCAGTTTTATGAAAGTTCTTCCCCGGGATGAAGATAACACTGATAGTTGTTGTTTGCGGTTACCCTTTTCGGAAATTACTGTGATTTAATGTGAATCATGTGCAGAAACATAAACAAGTTGAATCGAGTAAAATGTGATTCGCCACAATCTCCATATTATCAGTTTCTGCTCCGAAAATGTCTTACAGGCGGAGAAAGGTGGAAAAGTAAAGAATAAACTGAACTAGTTCCTTGTTTTGTCAGGAAACACAAAATAACGAAAAGCAACTAGAAAGAACGACTATATGAAAGGAAATTTGAGTGTTACGAGAAGAAAACATACAAGAAAAAGATAGAAATAAGGTAGAAAAAAGAGAGAAAACCGGTGCAGAGATCGCGAGAAACCATGCTTTTAAGCGAGAGACGCAGCGTGTCAGAGCTCGAATCGACCCGCTGCCTCGTGCGCACGCCTCTTTGCATTGGGGCGCGCTTGCTTTCTCTGCGTCTCTCCATCTCCCATGGTCTCTCGTCATGTTGAATGAGAGGCAACTAGATTGACATTCAAGCGGAGAACGGGTGGGAATGAAAGGACAAGTCTCGTACTTTTTTTCGCACTCAAAGCACTCTGAATATTGATATCAGCTGATCGATACTCGGTCAATTCAGAACGAAGACTGCGTTGGCACATGAGAGACACACCACATCCTTGACGTATTTCTCTCATTTCGCCCCTTTTCTTGTTTTCACGTTTTCGCTCCCCGTTCGCTCAAAACTTGTTTTCCGCGGTGTGGAGCCTGCTAAGCTTCAAAAAACGAACAGAAAACATCTCATAGCCAGCCGTTTCAAATTTCGTCTTGCAGCTACAAAAATCTGTGAACGCTGTGAAAATCATAGAAACTGAAAATAAAAACTTCAACATCCAGAAATTAAGAAATTTGGAAATCCAAAAATTCATAAATTTCCGAGTTTTAAGAATTCAGAAAAAATCGAAAAGTCAGAAATCCAGCTATTCTAAAGTTAGGTATTCATGAAGTTCAATTTTTTTTGAATTTGAATATTCTCGAATTCCCTAATTCTATAGCCCTTCAATTCTGAAATTTCGGATTGAGATATTTTGGAAATTGAGAAATTAAAAAGTTTTAAAATTTCTAATATTCGGAAATTTCTGAATTTCCAATTTTCTTAATTTTTCAGTTTCTATGAATTTTTACAGTATATTTTTACTGCGATTTCTTGATTTCCGAATTTCCGAATGTCTTTTTTTCATCAGCTAATAGTTTGGAAGTTTATTTTCTCTCAAATTTCGTCTTCAGATAAAATATTGTGAATATAAAATGTTTATTATTCTCAAAGATTCAAGGGGGTTGAATAGTCCAAATTATGAAGGAAGTTATAAATCATTTGCTGAGACTCTCTTGGCTTGTCTTCCGGTACAAAATGACCACTTCCACGAACTGTTAAGAAATCGAGATCTGCAAAAAAAATTAAGTTAAAAAACCAAATTTGGAACTAACTTCCGGCAAATTTAGTTTGGAAACCGGCTACCGCAGCACCAGTCTGACCGGAGAATGCCATGCCTTGTTCACTATCTCTTGTTCGCCCTTAAGATATTGAGTTGAAAACAAAAGTGTATCATGTGAAAGACTAACGAGAACTGTCAAGTTGAGAGATGTTAAGAACTGTTGATTCATGATTGAATTACATGCCGTATCGACGTCCCCGTTGTAAACGAGAATCTGAACAGATGAAATTAAATTTCAGATGCTGATTCCTACGTTTCACACCTTGATTCCAGCTGCAATCATAGTTTGAAACTCAGCGATTACATTGAAATGTGTCACGACGTACTTTTTGCCGACTTCATCGCTGTAAGGAATAGAAACAATAGAAATTAGGAAGACGCGAACAGGTTCACTGTTACATCGATGTCTTTTTTTTTATACACACTTTTGAATGGGTGGTTTTTTCAATTGAAAGGTATTCTATGGAGAGCGAAATAAATGACAGACGGATTACAACGCGTTCATTAATTATGGGAATAGTCCAGTTTGAATTTCAAAGACGATTGGGTTGTGATGAGAAACGAAATACACATTGTGAATTGACAATTTGCAGTAAAAATCATTGTAAAAATCATAGAGACGGAAACTTTAAAAACTTAGAAATCCAGAAAAAATAAATTTGGTAAATCAGAAATTCATAAAATCAGAATTTAGAAATCCAGAAACTTGGAAAGGTAGAAATCCAGCTATTCCAAGGTTATGTTCATGAAGTTCAATCTTTGAATTTGAAAATTATCAAATTTCCTAATTCTATAACTTTTCAATTCGGAAATTTCAAATTCCAAATATTTTGGAAATTGAGAAATTTGAAAAGTTCTCAACTTTCTAAAACTCGGAAGCTTTTGAATTTCTGAATTCCTAAATTTTGATCAAATTAATTTGTAAATTTGTAAGTTTAATTTGTAAGTTTTTCCGATTCTATGATTTTTTACAATGCTATTTTTTTCAAATTTTCGATTTACAATTATCTTAATTTCAATATTTTTCAATTCTGATTTCGAGATTTTTAAACTTCCCAACTTGGATTCCCGAATTTCTGATTTTTTGAATTTTCAGAACTTTAGGATTTGGAGTTTCCACAATTTTGAAATTTCGAAAAAATCGTATTTCAAAATTTTCTGAATTTGTGAGTTATATTAGTTCTGAAAGTTCAAAAAATCCGAATTTTTGGGAATTCAAGTTCGAAAATTTATAATAGAAATTCAGAAATTCAAAAATCTCGAACTTCAAAATTCCACAATTCAAATATTTGTAAATCAAAAACTTGTATTGAAAAAGCACTGTAAAATCATAGAAATTTGAAAATTTAAAAACTTAAAAATCCAGAAATTAAGAAATTTGGGAACCCAGTAATCCAGAATTTTCCGAATGTTAAAAATCCAGAAACTTGGGAATTTCGAAATTCGGAAAATCAGAAATCCAGCTATTCCAAACTTGGGTATTCATGAACTCCAATTTCTGAATCGGAAGATTCTCAAAATCCCAAATTCTATAACTCTTCAAAGCTGAAATTCCAAACCCAGTAATTTTGGGAATTGAGAAATTGAAAAGTTATCTTATTTTTTAATAATTCCTAAATCTCGGAAATTTCTGAATTTCTGGATTTCCCAATTTTGAAGTTTCGGAAATTTCGATTTTCAACATTTTTCAGTTTCTATTAAACCCTTTATAAATCTTAAGTTTCGAAATTCCCAATCCGGAAATTCCGGAAATTGAAAAGTTCTCTAATTTCTGAAGTAGAAAAGCCTAGCTTTCACCTGCATTCCTCCCATGCTGGAAGAGAACTTGGAATGTGTAAACTTTCACGAACAGCAGCTCTGTTTAGATAGTTGTAGGTATTATTCGTTTGAGCACAGAGTGGAAGATTCTGAAACTTTTTTTGGAAAAGTTCTTTTTTCTACTTTAGTCTTACTGTAGCTAAATTATGTTTTCTCTCCGGTAGTCCAACGGTTCTTCTCATTTGTCTTTCTATGAATGCTTTTTTGAGATTCGAACTTGGGTCATAGTAGCAAGCATCATATAAATTGTACATGTTCAACTCATTGGTGCCATCAAGAATCTAAAATTGATAACATGGAAATCACTAAGTAGTATCTTTCAGGATTACATTTATAACTTTATCTCTGCAATTAGGGTCGAAAAACTTGCTGTAAATATCACAAGTTCCAATGTTGTTATCGCAGCAGTTTTTGGCAACATCATTGTACAAACTGAAATAAAAATATCTATCCCAATAATATTTGGACTATAAATTTACTCGTCTCGAACCAATGCATGATAATAGTAAAAGGGGACCACTGTATTGTAGTTATTCGGGAAATTGAGTGCTCCATTTCCAATGGCAACTCCTTTGAATTTTGGGAAATTGAGTTTATCATTCAAAATACGAACAGCTAACGTTGGAATATAAACACCTGCATATGATTCTCCAGTGATCCAGAATTCGCGATTTTTATATTCGGGGAACTTGGAGAGAAAGTCTACAAGAGCATTGTAATTCTGGAGTGAGACCTCGTCGTCAGAAACTGTCAAATTGAAACTTGTCGAGTAAGAGAATCCGACGCCAGCAGGAGATTCCAAGAACAAAACGTTAGCAAACTGGAAAATAGCTTGAAAATAGATTGAAGGTTTTTTTTTCTAATTTAGTCAACTATACTTTATTCCATGCATATTGATTGTAATAGACTGAGAAGCCGTTGTCTTTAACATGAAATGGGCCTAACTCTTCAATGAGTCCATCTAAACTAGAACAACCTGGACCTCCATTGAGCCAGAGAACAAGTGGATCGTTAGATGGATCACGAGAAGATTCAGTCAGCCAATAATGAAAGAACTTGTCAGTAGCAGCTTGTAAAAAACCAGAGTAATGATTGAAATCAGGAGTGAAAGTCAACCCTGGTAAATCCGTTACTTTATCGGAAGAAGGAGCTGCCAGACATAAAGAAATAGAGAATCCAAAAAGGAAAACCCTTCCTAAACCGTACATTTTTCAGAATGACAACCAAGAAACGATAAGCGAAGAATGGATGATAAAATAAAATCGGATTACTCTGTGCTCAAAAAAATTTATTGAGGTGTCATCAGATGATAAATTATTTGTGATTAATATAATAAATTAGAATTGACTGGAACTGAAGAATGTAATGGATTTCAGATGGAATTATTACATATATGTTTTGAAAAAAAGTTTATATGTGAAAGTTGCAATTTGTTTTGATGTTTTTAAATATTTTTATTATCTTTTCTTCAAAAAACACATATGTTTTCAGAAACATCCGAAAAAATAATTTTTACCAGAAAAAAAATTTAAAGGAGCATAAGCAAAACAGCAACTTGAGTCTCGGCGCGCTTACAGTAGTCAGGTCAAATTTTAAGGGCGAACTTTTTCTTTCCAGCTCACGACTGAATCGACTTTTTCATTTTTTATCCCTCTTCGACTTGTTTATTTCAGCTGATTTTTTCAGCAAAATGTATGAACGAGAAAATTTCGGTCAATCGCAACCGCCGTTGCTGAAATCGCCACCTCCGATGGCGTCACCAATGGATTCGAACAGAGTCTGACAAAATTTTGCGCTCAAGAACAAAACATATTTTTTCAGTCTTATCGCTGGACATCGATGACTGCTGCCAACAGCTCAAAATTGTCTGAGACGCCAGTGAAAGGAACGCAGAAAAAACCGGATACTAGTTGGTGGTCGCCGTCTCGTGGTGATACATGGCGTTTGAATGCACCTCGCGGAAGAACTCTGGACCTTGTGGCAGCATTTGATCAGTGTGCTCGCCAAGAACAACTCGAAGCTCCTAAATATGTGAACGTTAGCAGATACCGCAGAAATAGTGAGCCGATGCACGAAAATGAAGAGAAAGAGATTGTGGCTACAAACTTTATTGGTTAGATCAAGGGCGTATTGTATCAAAGTTAATAACGTTTTCAGATGATTCAATGATAGATGATCATGAAGAATACGAGGAACACGATATCGAACTTGACATGGACTATTACGAAGTTCCTGTCGTTAAACACTACCGATCAAATCATAAAATTCATCGTTTGGAAAAAGAGAAGCACGGAGACCCTATGTAAAACAACCATAGAAATCATGTTCGATAATGAAATTTTCAGGCATGTTTCCATTGGTCAAGGCAGTCGTGATCAAAGTGTGTCATCTTCCCGAACTCGCACCTCTGTTGAACACATGGGCAGTGACGGATGTGGCGATTCCAAGCAGAATTGTGTCACTGTTGCCGGGTTCATCACTTCTACTCCACAAGTAGTGAAAACCAGTTCAGGTACTTTAGAGAGTTAGATTTTCTCATTCAAACTGAACCAATAATTCCAGAAGATTATTCGAAGTACTTCGGTAATGAAGAATCGATACGGACCTCACCTAAAAGTCGTCGTGATCGTAGGGAACGTCGAGGAACTCAAACAATAGTTCCTCCATCGTTCGATTCGCCAGCTTCTCAAAGGAAACCAAAATCAGTGATTTCTCCAGCAGCACCAGAAGTTTCCAGAGTAGATATTCGCTCTCCGCTTGTCAAGTAAGGAATGGAACTCAGTATGAGTGAAAACTTGATTTTTAAAGATCGATTGCCAGTGAGTTCGAGAAGGCTGACTTTGGGTTTCATCGTAAAATCGATGCAGCTCAGGAGATATCGGATTTGCGAAAGCAGGCAGGAATTGACGAAAATCAGAATGTTCTTGCTGAATCGTCAGTTGAGGATACCAGTAACCAGTCTGTTCCGAGAATCAGCTATCTGTAAGCTTATGAATGCATTCGAATAATAAAATTGAGTTTAAGTGAAATGCGTCCTTCTATTCAAATGGGTGTCAGCGGATACAAACTGAAAAATCGAGAAAATACAACTACAACAGCTGATAACGAAGAAGACATGTACTCTCTCCCGGTTAAACAACATTACAAAAAACTAGAGAAGACCGGAATGGATCAAACCGACGAGAAACAAGTTTCGACCCCGAGAAGCAGATCCATCCGTCAAAGTCTCCCGTTTTCTGATATTCCTGAAGAACGTACATGTGATAGGATCGATGAAATGTTTGACTTTGTGGAAGTTCCAACCGGAGATTTTGATGACAAGACTCTGGAACGTACATGCGAGGGTTATACTGAAATCAGAACACAGATGAGTCCGATGAAAGCACGCGTTAATCCATCAGACATGTCAGCTAACACATATCAAGAGATCGAGTTTGAAAAAGATGTAGGCTACTGGGAAGAGTTTTTAAAAATTCAATATGAGGTTTTGGAAATTTCCTCATCTGGAACTGCCGATGTTTCTTATACCAATTACAAAAAATCACATTTTATCAAATTATGTACTTTGATTGCTATCAATATTTTGATATTTTTCAGATTACCCCGTATGTACAGCAATCCGAAGGAGATGGTACTGGTTTCAGTGGTGCCTCATCCAGTGGGCCACAATTCACTCGTTCCCCTACTCTTGTCACTCCACATGCTGGTCAATCGGTCACTGAATATCGGGTTTCTGAGAAAGAAGGTTGTGCTAAAACTGAGAAGATCGTAGTTCAGAAGATGCTACAACCGGCAGCTCTTGCTACCTCCACTCCGAAAGGAACGTTTGCATACAGAAACAGAAATCAGTCGAGTGTTCCAGAAGATTCGTTTGTCAGTTCCATTAGTAATTTTTCGGCAGCTGACAAGATGAACGATTCGAGACGACAAATATCGAAATTGATAGAGACTATCGAGAAGACCCGAAAGCATATCCAACTTGCTGAGATTTCGTTAATTGATGCTAAGAAGGCACGGATGGTTGTTCAAGAACTGGCTTCTCAGCGTGTGTTGCTCATATGTCGCGAGCGCCTAAAACTGCAATTAGATGAAGTTCGCCGTCTCCAAGCTCTCTCTGTTGTTCGTCACCCACCGCCACCGATCAACAGACATTTCAAGTCAGCAATGGTTATTTCAAATATCGCCATTAACTTGAACAAGAATTTCAATTCTCGTAAGTCTTTTTTAGAATCTTTTAGGTTGCAAAATTTTTCATTTCTAGGTGGATCGTTTGCTTTTATTGTGGCTTTGAAGTGTCGTACAGAAATCGAGGCTACTGGTGTTGTGACTCTCCTCGCTCACTATCAGACGCGTCTGCACCAGATCCATTTTGGAGAGCATATGCATTTCTCCAATCTTCCTGTGGATTTTGTGATCTCTATGGAAGTGTACATGATGGTAAGTTAGTGAGTGTTTCAGAGCAATGCAAACTTCGTTCCTTTCAGCGTGTGCCTGAATACAAAGCTCCGGAGAAGACATGCGCTGCAGTATTAGCAGCGAAGTTCCGTAGTCTTCTGGTTCCGAATTCCGCACAACGGCGTTCCAGAAATACAACGAGTGTGTCAGCAAATCGAACTGTTTACTCCTTACCTGGATATCAAGCGCCGGAATGCGAGTTCAAGTTTTGTGGGAAGCTAACTTTGGATCGTGACTCGGCTGGTGACAGACAGTTCTATTTGGACGATGTCACATATCCACTGGAAGGAACGGTCAAACTTGTATCCCACTGCTCTTCTCTCCCGGAAGCTATCGATGTCGAGTATCGCGGATTTTTATACTTGTTCGACGAACGATCTCCAAATGGTGATGTAGCATGGGAAAGATATTGGGCGATGCTTCATCGTGGTGTCATCTTTTTCTGGAAAAATCCAATTGACGAGAAGAATGAAAAGGTGCCGCTTTCCCAGATCGATCTCACAAAATGCACGAATCAATCAATCGAGGAAACAAGAAATGAACGAGCACATGAATTCCATATTGAGCTTCTAATCGATCAAACTCCAAGCCTTCTTGAGAAGAGAAGGTATATTTCCAGTTCCTGTGAATTACATAACAATCATTTCTTTTTCAGAGTTGTGCTTGCTGCCGAATCAACTGATCATCTGTCTTCATGGCTGAACGCTATCAACGACACGCTGTATGTATTACGCTCGTGATAAATTCTTCCCTATCCATTATTCAACTTCTCATAACTGTTCTTTCTTCTTTTTTTGATTAGCCAAGATCTCACCTCTCGACTCATTGCTCCCCTTTTCTCCGTATTAGTTTTCGTAACAATTTTTCGTTAGCCTCTTTTGCTCCCCCATGACGGTGTAAACCCAATAGTAAGTATTATTTCAATTAGTTTTATAAGAATTTCCCCCATCTTACTTTCCAGCTATTCTTTGAGATTTCTCGTTTCTACCGCTGAGGTTAGCTCCCTTTAAATCCTCGTTTTTATCGCCTCCGGAGTCCGGATAGTACATTCAATCCCATTGACAGTCTTCTTATAGACTTTTCTCCCACATGCACCGTAATAATTATGATGTGTACTACTTCTGGTAATGAATATGTGGGAATGATTTCAATTTTATTTTTTTTTGTTTTGCTGTTGATGTAGCTTGATGTAGCTTGATCAGCAAAGACATATTTTGTCATTATCGTTGGAACGAAGAATGCGCCAGCACGAGAAGTGCGCCTTCATCGATTTTGGTTCATACTCTCGCCTTCGCTCCCTCTGGATTTTTCGGAATAAATTATATATCGTCCCCTTTCAAATACCACTTGATATTATAACATTTTCAGTACTTTCAATTCAGAAAATGCAGCAAAACGGAGATCCACGTCGATCGAATCGAATCGTCCGGTAAGAGCTTCGTATTGAAAAATCAACCAACATTTTTTTTTCAGGTACAAACCTCTCGATGCAACTGCTAACCAGCAACAAGCAGTCAGCGATGATCCACTTCCAGAGTACATGAATGTGCTCGGTATGATTTTCAGCATGTGTGGACTGATGATTCGAGTGAGCCAATTTTCAAAGATATTTTCATATATATGAATTTATAGATGAAATGGTGCTCGTGGCTGGCTCTCGTCTGCTCCTGCATCTCCTTTGCCAACACCCGTACTTCGGACGATGCCAAACAAATTGTTAGCAGTTTCATGTAAGTTAAATCCTTTTTATAGTTTGTTTATCTAATTTTTCTCAGGCTGTCAGTCTCCGCCGTCGTGATGAGCTACCTCCAGAATCCATCGCCAATCATTCCTCCATGGGTTACCCTTCTTCAATCTTGATTCTCATATAATCTGTCTAGCCCACTCAGACCACACAGACAACTGTGATAATGAATCTAGCAGCTCAATTATTTAATAAATTATGTGTTTCGAGACTCCACCCTATGTTTATGCATCCCATGTCCTTGCTAGCCACCCTCGAAAAGTAGAACGAACATGTCCTACTTCTTCCTCTTCTTTGCCGATATATCGGTTAGTGGTTAACGACAAAGCGGAGAGAGATGAAAGATGAAGGAGCGCAATCGTCTGGATCCGCGCGTTTTCTTCCAGGATGAGAGAAGAGAAATACGATTGATGTCGTACTTTGCTGCGTCCACCATGTAGCCTACGTATTCGTTTCAAACTTCTAATTCTTATTAGGAGAGGTCTGGTATAAAAACACGGCAAGTTCAGAGTACGATGTAGGTTCTAGCGATCAGAAAAGGCTATAATATATTTACATGACCTAAAAGAAAGGCCGGCCCTTCTATTACAGGTGCCGGCTATGTTTTCGACATTTTTCCGACAAATTCTCGTTGACAATCCAGAAAATTCTACGAATTTCACCAAAAATAGGAACGTTTTTGTGCTAATAACAGTGTTTTTTTCTCGAGATTCCGGATATTCTTAATCATTTTTCCATAAAAACATACAAAAAATTCTAATTTCAAAAATCTACTTCCTTGACGTCTTTATTCTCTCCAGAATTTCTCAAATGTTCCTTTTCCTTCGATTCCACATCATTGTCTTTTATTTTGCTTATTCTTGAAGATCTCCAGACCCGAAAAGGATGAGCCGGAAATTATAGCACTGCTTCCTTGAAATCACTTTTCATGCTGTATTTCACAAACCATTTTACCTAGAATTTTTGTTTCAACTATAAAAATGTAGAGCACAAAATTTTACACATTGTTGTAGTTGGAAATTTTTCGGTAGCTTTCATGGTTCTGGAGATACAGCACTTAGAAGATAGAACGCAGGGATCTTTTTTCTCGGGGCGTCTTATAAATCCTCTCAAACAGTAATACTACTGTAAACACATTTTGAAGAGAGCCTATTACAGGAGGTCTTCTAATATAGGTTTTACGGTATTTTAAAAAACGTCCCGGAGAAAAACATCGTGGATTCCGGATTCCGGATTCTGTTTATAGAAAAAGTCATTCCGGACAACTATGGTTAACATCCCACTTTTAGTTTTTCGGTTCTGAAATATCCTATTCTTCAAATCCTAATCACATTTCTGATTTGATTTCCCAAAGATCAGAACACATGACGAATGGACTTGTGATCCTATTCAACCATCATTCTTGTTTTCAACCCAATTCGAAAACCCCATTACGTACCCAAAACTAATTTTTGTTCGAGAAAGAAAAAAGGCGGTTTCGAGACGGACAAACAAGATAACATCTCTGTCGTATTCAGAAATCAAACTAAATTCAATCTCCAATTGCGGTTTGTCATCATCGTCATCTACAGTATCCCATCCTTGAAATGAATTTTCGAAAGAAACCGGAATTTTTCAATTTTCATGTTTGCACTTTCTACAAAATTTCCACCCCGATCTTCTTCCCATCCCCGTTCCCATCATCCGACACTCCTTTCATCTGAATTCGTGAGAATCGCCAACGAGGAATCGAATGAGGTCGTTGGTTATCTTTTTCTAAAATCTGAATCTCCGAGGAACCTCTCATCCTGTTTTGTACCTCATCTTCCCAGTCCCATCTTCTTCTTCGTTATTTTCCACATCCCGTTTTCAATCCTAGGTGCACTTGTTCTCCATTAAAAACCTGTTAACACTTTTTTTATCACTTTACCATTAAAATCATTTTTGACATCTTCTTCTGATTTATCACAATTTAGACAATGTACACTGTAGCAGTGACCGGTGGTGCTGGTCTCGTTGGTCGCTACGTTGTTCAACGACTTTTGGAGAATGAGCAAATCGCTGAAGTTCGAGTTATTGATAGACAAAGTACTTCGAGAGGTATGTTAAGCATCACAGCCCAGGATTTTTTTTTCGGAACGCTTTTGCAAATGCGTTCGGGCGCTAACATTTGAATACCGTAGTAAACACTCGTTTTTTTGTGCTGTATCTCAAAAACCAATTTGCCTAGAATATTTATTTCAACTACAGAAATGTAGAGCATAAATTTTTACACTTTTTTTTAGTTGAAAACTTTTTGATATCTTTTATGGTTCTGGAGAGGGCTTACAGATAGGGCGCAGTGATCTTTTTCTCGGGACGCCTTGTAAACGCACTCAAACGCACATAACCGTAAGGCTACAGTAAACTGATAACTAAAAAACGTTGATAACTAAAAAAACGTCCCGGGAAAAGCACCGTGATTGAAAATATTGATGTTTAAGATTCTGAAATTTTCAGAAGAGAGTCGCAAATTGAAGCTCTACTTGATGGATCTGAATGATAGGAAACCATTGGAGAATGCATTGTTGGGATGTGATGGAGTTATTCATTGTGCTCATGCACCATTTCCAATTCTATATTCAAAAAATAAGGCAGAAATCGATCAAATGTGGAGGGATAATCTGGATGGTAAGTTGTTCTTCCTAGGATTACTGTAACTTTCGGGTACGGAGCTGTGGAAGAGCCGGTCCCTGTGGCCAAAGGTCCCACAACGACAACTACCGTAACTGAAAAATATTGTTGTTCTCCGGATTTGTTACCGTAACCACTTTAATAGAAGGCCACCCGAACCGCTAACTTTGAACCAATTTTTCTCGGTTCCTGTCAAAGATATGAAAAGTTTGTTAACTGATAAATTGTTTATCATAATATCACTAATACTTTATCAGTTGACACACGTTTGATACCTCTTATAGGAATCGAGATAATTGAGCTCAAAGTTGCAATTTTGGGTGGCACTGTGTTGGAGTGCTTACGGTACCTCGATTTCCGTTTGTTTTCAGCCAATTTTTTCACTATCGAAAGTTTTTATTGTCCTACATTATAATAACCGAAAACTAGACCAAAAGAAAAACCAGAAAAATATTTTCTAGGTTACGGTAGCTGTCGATGTGGGGACTTCGGCCACGGCCACCTTTCCAAAACACCAGCTAGCATTTCTATTTGTTTTTTAAGCTTGTGAATCAGTGGTAGATACAATGATTTCTATGAATATTAGAAATCTGGTTAACATTGGATGTGCGTACAGTCCGATTCCAAATGAAGATAACTATGGACTGGCTCAAGACGTATTTCTGTAAGAATAACCCGTTTTTGAGCAATCTTCAAGCTATAAATTTCCAGTGATTATCCGAGAAACTACATGTTGGATAAGTACGGAGAATCGCGTACTCGAGGTGAAATGTACGCTAGAAAGGCTGCAAAACGAGGATCTCTGAATGCACTTTTCTTGAGACCAACTTTTGTATACGGTCAAGGAAAGAGTCGAAAAATCGAGGCGATCAAAGAGCTGGTACAAAACGCAGCACTCCCATTTGTGACAGGAGAGAGAAGAGGAATGCATCAATTTGTAATTTATCGGGGATTATGAATTTTGAAGCTAATCCATTTGTATTCAGATTTATGCTGGAAACTTGGCAGCTATTGCAGAAAAGTCATTCTTTTGCCTTCTTCAAGATCAGAAAAAATTCAATGGAGAAATTGTTTTTTGTATGGATGAGAACTGTGCACATTCTATTAGAGATGTGGGTTACTGATCTCAAATTTTCCGATTAAAAGTTTGATTTTCAGTTTTTCGAAAATCGTTTCCTGAACCCTAACTACTCAAACGATGTAGCTGTGAACTATTGGCCATCATTTGTGTCGTCTTATACCACATACTGGAAGAATCAACTTGGATTGCCAGTATGTTGTGTATCGCATACTTGCAACGGGCCGGGCCGGGCTTTTTTCAGAATTTCCAGGGCCCGGCCCGGCCAAGCCCGGCCCGGCCCGTCTCGGCCCGTGTTTTCAGGAACAAATTTTTCCTGTCTTTTCAAAAACATTTTTCCGGGTCAACTGAAAAATGGACAATTTTTCTGTCAAGTATAAAACTTTTCAAGATAAAAATGTCCATAAAAAAAATATTTTTTCACAAAAAAATTTGAAAAAATGTCTGAAATTTCAAAAAATTTTCAAATTCGGAAAACCCGAGCCCGGCCAGGCCCGCGGGCCGGTCCTGATTTTTCAAGTATGGTGTATAGGAATTCAAAGATGTGGATATTTTTTCAGGTTCCTGACAAGTCTCTGAATCATGTTTCGTTCCGTCTATTCTTTGAAAAAACCGTCGGTTTTCCTAATAAAAAATTACGTCTGCTTTTGGATTCAAAACCTGAAATTTCCCAAGAAGAAGCTTTAGCAAATTACGCCAACCCCAAGTCATCATTCACTACGGACTCAACGAAGAGATCAGCTGTTAAGGGATGATGAGTGGAACAGCGGATTAATTGAATGATTCACTCTTTTTTTCTTTTCTTTATTGAACTTATTCGAATAAATAAACTATTTTTTAATGTTTTCATAAAAAATAAATAAATAAAAACTGTGAAACCATTCAGTCGTTGCAGGACCTATGGCAAACATCGGGAATGTTCCTTTGGATTACTGTGGAACAATTTCGAACTTGTATTCGAAAAACATTTTTTGTGTCGATATTCTCTCTCCTGTCAGCGCATTTTTCGAAAAAATAGCTTCTGAAGCCACAATTCAAAAAACTCATGTTGTCCGCTGGCGCGCTGTTGGTTAGTCTGCGTTTCTACTCTCTTTCATTCGCTCTCGTTGCCATGAGTTATAGAGCCAGCGATATCAATCTCACATCGACATATTTTTCCCCCACTATTTATCTTTTTGCGTTTAGATATTTTCTCTGAAGGCGAGCTGGCATCCGATTCCGAGCTTGTTCAGTCTGTGAGGGTCTCTCGAATCTGCAGTACATTTTTTGCTCATCCATAAAACGTTTTTCTCTTTTTTCTCGCTGCACTATTCGTTTCAATAAAAAGAAAACCAGACATCGATGTATAAAAATATTTTAATTTTTAGAAAACTATGGGCGACACCGACGCAGGACAGATGGAAACCGAATCGTCTAGTTCGAAAATGCCAGCTGATGACTTGCAATGCACGATTTGTCTTTCTTCCAAGTGAGTTTTCTTCTGAATTAGTGGGTATAATTTAGTCTTAAAATCTACAGATTCTCTCAAGAATGCCGTGTGAACGGTTGTAATCACGCATTCTGTTTCTCATGCATATCCGAATGGGTCACCCAATCGATGCGCCCGTCTTGTCCAATGTGTCGGCATGATATCGAGAAGATTTTCTACGATTTTTCCGATGAGCTTGGCAAGAAAGAGTGAGAAATTCGAGCAAGTTTTCTAAATTTTATTATTTTTCATTTTTAAAGAATTGGAATCCGAGAATATCGAAGCACACAGATGTCGATATCACCACCCGACCGAGCACAACTTCTTGGTGAAAGGCGATTAGTTGTCAGGAACTTGATGCATTGCTATAAGCTCGTTAATCTCCTTGCTTCCGAAGCGTTAGTTTTTCTTAGCAAATCTGTACTGGAATTAACTAAATATCATCGACTATATTTTTTCAATGAGTGCGAACTTTCGTTGACGAAATTTTTTAGAAATCAAAACGAAGTCAATGATAAAATTTGTTTTTTTTGGGAAATATGAGTGTTTTGAGATATCTTAAAAACTAAAAACTCGCAATTCAAAAAACCACTCAAAGTTCCCAAATGCTTTAATGTATTTTAGTTGAGTGTCCAATATTTTTCAGATCCGACCTAGACGAATCGAAGGAAGAGGAGGAAACTATAAAGGTTAGAGGTTGGAAAGTTTGATTTATTCACATATAACCTTTTAGAATGGATTGTTAGAGTTGAAGAGCACTGTGTCAAACCATATTCTCAATGCAGAAAAATCACTCGTCGAATTGCGTACAGAAATCGTGCAAAAGAAAAAGTAAGTCCAAAGATCTGAAAAGTGATACGATTCCATGTCTTTCCAGGTCTCTGGTATTCAGTTCGCTATCGTTTCGCCGTATAATATATACAAACAAAATAAAAATAAAATATATCGATCAGAAAAAACCAAAACTGCAGCCAGAGGATATTTCCAAGGATCCCAGTCGATTCAAGGACATTGTAATCGGGTTTCTACTCACCGAATTTGACGCTATTCCTTATCAAAATGTATGATAAGTTTTTTAATCTACTAATGGGGTTATGCACGTAATAAATTTGCAATAAAAATGGCAAATAAATACACAAAAATACTATGCAGATACGCAAATAAATTAATTTATTTGCATTCAAAAATCGAATTTAATTGCATTATCAGCCGTGGAAATTTCCTCTCAAAATTTTTTCTCGAGAAAAATGTCATGAAAAATCTTCGAGAGAAAATTTTTTCATGGCTGTTAATGCAATTTAATTCGTTTTTTTTTGAATGCAAATAAATACATTTATTTGCGTATCTGCATAGTATTTTTGTGTATTTATTTGCCATTTTTATTGCAAATTTGTTACGTGCATAACCCCATAATAAACAAAATTAAACTTACAGCAGCCGAAAGTCGCCGGTCATAAATGGAGAACTAAATTCTTGGGAGCACTAGAGGCTCAACAGAAACAACGTTACGCTGATGAAATTTATCAATTGATGATGTCCAAATCCGCCGGAACGGAAAACTTCCAGAAAGACCTTGGAGCGATTCTATCACCGGTTAGCCAAATGCATATCCAATTCTTGGATGATCATTTGGAAGCAATCATTGCAGTTGAAAAAACAAATCTCGAGGAATTCTATCAAGAAGTGTACTATGATTCAATTTACAACAGCTTCTCTAACAACTTGTTTGACTACAACGCGATGATGACGATGCGCGATGATCCAGAGAGTCGATTTCATGCATTGTTCACTCATTTACACCACATGAATCCCATGGATTGGTTGGATCCCTACGCACGTCATCTGAATCGTCAAGCATCGAATAACGACGGTGGAACAGATCGAGCCACGAATAATGATGACGACAGTGATCGATCGCCTTCTCCAGAAGAAAGAGTTCCAACGCCAATGCCAGGCGACAATCCTGCTGCAGAACGGGATTATGCGGAGACACTTGTAGGGGGTGTATTGGAATTTGAACCAGGAACTCGTGCTACATTCTCTTTCCGACCGCCCAGTAGAACGTGGCAAGAACTCAGGGAATTCGGAACAACCAGAAATGAACCTCCCAGAAGAGTGCTAGAGGGACAGTCGTCGAGAACTCGACCATACGAAGAGCATATGCGAACGCACATGACTTTGCGATCTTCAACACGGCGAGGATCAAGACCAGAAGAAGCTGGGAGCAGATCAGCAGAAAGCCCGCAACGAGTGGACCCTCATATCAGCAGAGAAAGAATTGCAAGACTTGAGGAACTGCACAACAGCTCATTGAGTCTAGCGGTAAGTGCCGCTTTGAGGACACATCAGCATTCAATTTTGCAGAATCTACTGCAGCCACCTCCTGTACCTACAGTAAATACATTCAGCCGATTCTTCGCAGTACATCCGGGAGTAAGTTTATTTTATGAGCAATTTTATAAGCTGTATACCTCTAATAGAATAACCTAGAAATATACCAAAATGATATGTTTCAGCATCTCCACCGCACACGCCAATACCCTGTCTACCAGCCAACCAGACCAGGAGGTAATCGCGGTGAACGAATCGAAGAAGGCAACACAGAAGTCGATGTTGTGGAGAGGCGACAACGTTTAGTAGCAATTGGTGCGGATCCAGAACGCATTCCAGCTATTGAGGCACTTATGGACCGGGTTAGTACCCGTTTCCGCTGGTCGCCACCGCCAGCTACTCCACGTCCTCCTGCTCCTCCTTCGGAACCGCTATTCCGTCGACCAGGACAACCGAGCAGTTCAGGAGCTCGTGTTGTAGTTGACAGTTCCCCAAGAAATGAAGGCCTCGATTTTATATCAGTTGCTCGTCGGACCAGAGCCGCTATGAGAGGTAATATAGTTTTTTTTTTGAAAACTTAGATAACATTGATGTTTCAGCAGCACAAAGTGCACGACAAGAAGAAGAAGAAGAAGCACCTCCGGCGAAAAGACCTACCACTTCTCGTCGTGGTCGTCGTTGAACAAGAAAAAACCCCGAATCATGTTCCTAAACCCGTTGTTCAAATTAATAAGACATTGTCTTAACTGCTGTCATTGTTTGTAATATTTTTAGTACTGCTATTTTTTCATTTATTTATCTTCAAACAGACTAAATATGTCCTAATTACAAAATGATTTGAAATTATCTGTAGTCTACATGCCTGTTTGCCGTTCTGATAAACTATTTCATATTTGTTTCAACTTAACGGGGAGTATTGATTGGACCTGTTCGGACAACAGTTTGGTACATATTTGCGATTTTTTCTAGGAAAAGTGTTTGGGTTTGTTTCTGTGATGGGGCATTCGAAGCCAATTTCCATTAAAAAATTTGCCCAAGCCTGAGTTTTTCCAGGTTTTCCAGAGTTTAAATTCAGAAAATCTGTTAAAGTTGCAGCCTCGCGCTTTTTTCCTGAAAATCAACTTCGGATGCGGCGTAAGAGAGCTCATGGATTTTTGGAATAGCCCTTACGGAAAATTTCGAATTACGGAATTTCTTATTTTGTGCAAAATCGACAAAATTGTTTTGAAAACTCGATTAATTTAATTCCGCTCGAGACCCTCAACTAAACTTTCCCTATGTGCCTTTGAAATACCGTATTATTTACAAAAAGCTCTAATTCCGAAAAAAAACTTTGGAAAAGTTCCGAAAATGGTCAGACTTTTCGGAAAACGGAACTTCCCTAGTTTTCTAGTAAGATCACTGTCTAGAACAAAACCAAAATTTCTATTGTTTCCCATGAGAATTCTGAACAAATTTCCAGAACGCCCCAATGGAAAGCAACGCGGATCTCCAACCTGAAAATCAGATGCCTCCGAGTACAAGTGGCGTATTTCTGAAACGAGAGGATGATAACTTCTCTGATAGTCCACAGTCAAAAGAAGAACCTGAAGACGGCACGGAGCCTTCTGAAGAGTGTTCAGTTTGTCGAAATGAGTTTGTGAAGTACCCATTACTAAAGAAAAATTTCGTATAATTTCAGAATGATCGACACGACTGTGCTCAGCGACTGCGTGCACGAGTTCTGCTATGATTGCATCATAGGATGGCTAACGAAAGGGACTGGACCATTCTGTCCAATGTGCAAAACTCCTGTCAAATTTATCAAAAAAAAGGGAACAGATGAAGAGATTAGTCTACAGCAAATTCAATCTGAAAAGGAGCCAGAAGCAACAGCATCAGAAGATCTTGCTACTGAAAGAAGAATCGTTTCGAGAAAAATTCGCAGTTGTCGAAGACTTATGAATCAAATCGACGACGTTATGTAAGTTTTATTTTTGGTTTTTTTTTTGTTCAAAAATGGAAATTTACAGTGGCTCGTCGTCGAGACTAGATCCAGCCAAAAGACAAGATAGAAACGAGGAGCTGAATGTAATGAAGCAGCTTTGCGTTTCTCAACTCAACTCTCTTCAAGTGCTTCGCGACGATATAAATCATGGAGCTGCGAAAGCGTTGATCGTGTCAAGACCAGAATTTCGAAAACTGATTTACGAACGACAGGTTCAAGCGATGGGATTGATAGAATCGAATCGTCCAGTATCAAGAAAAGAGTTTCTTGCCAATATCGAGCATTATCGAGCTGTCTTGAATACCTTCTTCTCAGTGGAGTTGAAATCGATGCCTGCTAAATTGGTTCGTCGTTTTTGCAGTTTTCAGTTAATCAAACATAATTTTACAGCAGCCTAAAGTAGGCCAAAGTAGTTGGTACTTCCATAGTCTGCATGATGTGATCGATGGGAATGACGAGGTGTACATCAACAAATTATTCAGTATGGTGTCGGATCGGGGCGTTAATGAGTTGACTGCGGTAAGCGAACAAAAACTACAATTTTAAAATTACCTGAAAAAACCTTCAGAAGGATGTTGATGCAGCGCTGAACGGTCTTGTCACCTTGCGTGTATCTTCGTTGTTCATTTCGGAACTGAAATCATTGGTGAATAGTAAGAAGACATTCTTAGACTGGTGCGGAGCTGTCCTCTATAGAAACAAAGCGGATCGAGTGGGAGAAGGAAACGCTGATGCAGGTCAGCGTCAATGCTTTCAACATACTAAAACGATTTTTGTAGTTTCAGAAATTGTAACAGTCGATGATTCAAATGATGTGGAAGAAGAGCCAGCTGAAGAACGATATGACGGATTGCGACCACGACGGCCTATTGTATACAATCCATTCGACAGTGTTTTCGGTCGGTAATTCTTTCATAATAATTCATTTTTTTAGAGAGAGTTTAACTTTTAGGCCAACCGACTCACTCAAATCGAACTTTCACGAATGTGAGTTATATTCCATCACCCGACTCAATTGTAAGTTATGATTATAGTACCGACGCCCGTCATCATCAGACACCGATCAAGATGAAGACATCTACTTTCAGGCGCCACTACGTTTGGGTCCAACGAGCAGCAATCCATTCAGACCGGCACCTCATCCATTTTTCCCTCGTAAGTTTCAGAGGGAGAGGGGAGGGGTTCCTAGAAAAAAGATACAATTTTCAGCTATTCCACCAAATGGGATTTCATGGTCGGAATTAACACAAATCAACAAGAATCCAGACAAATCACATCGATCAAAATCAGGCGAGGTTCAAATTGTCGATTTGGAGGACGAGGAGGATGAGCAGAACGAGCCTGATCCATTTGGAGACGTTCAAGTTGTTGAGAATGACGACACAATTGTGATCTCGGACTCTCCGAATATACAGAAACCTCAAGAACGGAAAAGGAAACACGATACGCCTATGGACAGGTATTCTAAAAGGAACAGAATGGAGGATCAAGAAGAGGAAGATGAGGATTTGCCAGATGGACTTGTAGACGATATTCAGAACTTGATAACCAAATACAACCTGCCGATCACTCAAGCAATGACCATGTTGCATAAAGCTACAGAGAAAGCTATCAAAGGAATCACTCAGCCTGTGAAGGACTCTTCCCGGAATTCAAAGTATTTATTTGTTTTATAAAATGTTGTTTTCATCAAAGTTCAATAATTTCAGAGAGCCTTCAACGTCATCTAACATTCAACCGAATGACGCTATGCAATTGGCAGGATGTTGGTTACATTTCTTAAAATACGAGTTTTGAACTATATTCAGTTTCAGATTTGGCTCGACGAGGCCTCGGTCCATGGTCCAAGCAAGCTCCTACAAAACCAACGAACGGTGGCAGGTGGAATTAATTTCTCACCAGATTGTGGCCTTCCTTGTTATTTTTTATTTATTTGAATGCTTTCTCTCTACCAAATGTTGTTTTTACATTTTTCGAAAATTCCATATCTCCCTGTATTTTACACATTATTTCATTTCTTCTTAAGTATCTTTTTCATTCATATGTTATCCCATTAAGTTGCATCGTTGTAGGACTATCCCTTCGGAAAAATTTCCTATCTGTCATTTTTAGAATAAATCAGGTTCATTTTTTATGTCATGTAAAACAAGATTATGTGGGTACGAACCTGTTGAGTATCATTTGGCTCTTGCACGAGATTTTATCCCAGGCACGCTCTCCCACATGATTCTTAAAAAATTAATTAGTGGTTATAGATTCATGTATGGTCGTTTTCCAGAAGAGAAAAATTTCAAAAATGGTCATTTTGAAAGTTTTTTACGGAAAAAATCTATCTCCTCTTTCAGTTTTTGACATTTCTAGGAATTCTATAGCTCAAAAAAAACCGCAATTATTTTCTCTATATTTTCTATGGACGAATATTTAATTCGTCTGATAAAACTTTTTTTATAATTGAAAAACCTCATGAAATTGCACAAAATAGCATTTTTGCGTTGTTTTTTGATTATAAAAAAGTTTTATCAGACGAATTAAAAATTCGTCCATAGAAAATGTAGAGAAAATAATTGTGGTTTTTTTGAGCTATAGAACTCTTAGAAATGTCAAAAACTGAAAGAGGAGATAGATTTTTTCTGTAAAAAACTTTCAAAATGATCATTTTTGACATTTTTTCTTCCGGAAAACGACCATACATGAATCTATAACCACTAATTAATTTTTTAAGAATCATTTGAATCATCTTGGAACTCCACAAAATCAGATAAAAAATTCTGAAATTATGGTTTTAGACCTGCAATTGTGATCGCGCCAAACTTTTTTTCTGTAGATCAAAAATTAATTTGCAGTTCGGAATTGTTCTGTGTGAGAGCGTGCCAGGGAATTTATTCCGAAAATTGCGAGAAGGAATAGAAATATCTCCGAAAAAAATTTCGGAATATTATTTTTCCGAAGCTTTTTTCCGGAATCAAGGATTTTGGCTTACGGTATGTCAAAGGCGCACGCGAACAATTCTCTGGCGTGTCTCGAACGGAATTGATATTTTTGCGCTGTCTCCCGTGCGCCTTTAAATACCGTATCCCTAAAAGCTCTTTTTTTTAAAGGTGGTGTGCGGTTAAAAATTTTATTGCTTTATTTTGTGCAGAAATCCAAGTGGATCCCCATAAAAATAAAGAAAAAAATCAAAAAAATTTCGGCCAACTGCCGGTAAAAGCGCGCGAAATTCGAATTTTTATTGATTTTCAGTGTTTTCTCAGATGTGTTTTTAAGATTTCTAAATGTTTTTGTTAA